TGGCGGCCTGAGGACGGGTGAAGGAAGAGGTAACCAGGGGCAGAGCGAGCGTGGCCAAGGTAGACACACTCAATGGCCTTGGAGGCGAGCTTTCCTGCCTGCCGAGAGCGGTCAGGTGGGGGGATGAGGACATATGCCTTGCAACCCCAGATACGGAGAATGGCAGCATCTGGCTTGGTGCTCGCCCAGAGCTCAGTGGGAGTGACAGACTGGCGTTGAGGATGTGGGTAAAGATTAGTAAGGAGAGCAGCATGGACAAGGGCATAGCCCCAAAGAGAAGGGGGCGTGGAGGCATGAGTGAGGAGGCAGCGGGCCGTCTTGGTGATCTCACGAATGCGACTCTCAGCAACACCGTTCTGCTGAGGGGAGTGGGGAAGGGTATGAGTCTGCTGGATGCCATGGGTTGAGCAGTAGGAGGAGAGGGTGCGGTTGAGAAACTCACCACCGCCGTCGGAATGGAGGCGGCGGATGGGGCGACCAAAGTGGACTCGGCACTGCTCGGCCCAGGTAACGATGACAGCAGGGGCCTCGGCCTTCGTGTGGAGGAGGAACACCGAGGAGTACCTGCTGTGGTCGTCGACTAGGACAAGCAGGTACCGGTGCCCTTGGCGGGGAAGGGAAGGGTTAGGGCCCCAGAGGTCCATGTGGACGAGGTCAAGGGGGGCAGCAGCAAAGGAAGGATGACTGAGGTAAGGCTGTTGTTTGAGCTTTCCCATGAATGCATGTGGCGCATGGGGGAGCGGAAGAGGACGGGAGGGGAGGAAGAGTGGGGGGAGACTGTCAAGCAAGCGGGAGGAGATGGCTTTACGAAGTGTGGGAAAGTTCATATGACCAAGGCGGTGGTGGATGAGAACAGCGGGGTGGGACAGTGCGCGACAAGAGCATGGAGAGGAGGTGGAGGTTGAGGAAGGTGGCTCTAGAGGGAGGGGAGGGGGGAGAGTGGAGGTGCCTGCACGAGTGGTCACGTGGCATGAGGAGGGGCGGGGTGTGCGGAGGATGTACTGACGAGAGCGAGGGCAAAGTGGGAGGCGATGAAGGAGGCGGCGAGTGGGGCCGTGGAGGAGGTCACAGTAGGTGGCAGAGGCGGGGAAGAGGGTAGTGATGCCAGCCTGTTGGAGTTCACGAATGGAGAGCAGGTTATGACGAAGGGAGGGAATGTGGAGACCAGTGACCACTCCAGAGGGGAAGGGGGGGCAGGGGAGGGTGGAGAGATGGGTGCAAGGGATGGAGAAGCTGGAATCAGCACCATGAACGTTGGTGGGGAAAGGGAGGGAGGTGAGGGTGCCGGCGTCTTTGAGGGCAGTTTCAGTGGCACCACTATCGAGAACAAAGTCAATCGTGAGCGAGGAGGGAGCTGAAGACACGGGGTACTGGAAATCACTGGCATTAAAAACAGAGGGATACATGGAAGTGGAAGCAGGGGAAGAACGCATGAGCTCGCCTAGAAAGCTGGAGTGGGAGGCGGGAGCACTAGGGGAAGGAGAGCCCCAGAGGGGAAAGCCAGGAGGACCTGGTGTGGCTGTGGCAGCCATGGCGGCGGTGCCAAAGCCAAGCTGCTGCTGCTGCCATGCAGATGCTGCGGCTGCGGCTCCTGCAGCTGCGGCTGCAGCCTGACCACCAGAGCCCCACTGCTGCTGCTGCTGCAGCAGCTGCAGCTGCTGGAAGCGGCGAAACTGCTGCAGCTCCTGGGGAGTTATGGGGTCAGCGACAGAGGAGGAGGAGGAGGAGAGCTGAAGATGAGAGGGGAGGAAAGACGGAAGAGTTTTGACATCCTGGAGAGAGGGGCGGGGATCCATGGCAGACCAGCGTGGGGGGGTGCCAGTGTTGCCGCGCTCGAACCAGGCGTCATCATACGCCTTGAAGCAGGTTGCGGGGGGATGGTTGGTTTGGGTGCAGCGCTCACCCGCCCTGGGACCAAAACGGCGAAGATAGGAACATGGGGGAAGAGTGCCAGGGCGGCCACCACGGCTACCAGATGATCCACCACTGCCTCCACCACCACCACTGCTGCCACCCTCGACCCCGCCACCACCGCCGCCGGCTCCGCTGCCCCCACAACCGCCACCTCCACCCCCTCCCTGAGGGTTGGTGCGGCCGCCACGTGGGCGCCCGCCACGACGCGGCTGTGTGACTGCAAGCTGGGGGTTTTGGGACGCGGTGGAGTTCAGGCCGGAGGGGGGGGTTGAGAGAAGGCGGGCCTCAGCGTCAATGATCCATTGGACCACAGTGTCAAGGGAGGCGCGGGGCTGAGCCTCAGTGAAGGCGATGACGCGCACTTCATATTGAGGGGAGAGGCCTTCGAGGAGACGGTAGATCTGAAGGTTGGGGGGGAGAGTAGTCTGGCGAGCCTCAAGGCGGGAGGCAAGGTCCAGGAGACGGCTGGTGTAGTCAACAGCGCCAGCACTATGTTCGATCGTGATGCTGAAGTATTCCTTGAAGAGCGGTCCGACAGCATCGAAGTCGGTGCGTTCGAACATTGCCTCAAGCTCGAGCCAGATCTGGCGGGAGCCGATGCGACGTGCCTGGAAGTTGCGCATGAGCGCAGACGGGATGGCAAGGAGAAGGGCACCAGTAGCACGGCTGTCCGCCTCGAGCCAGGCGCGACGACGCTCAGCAAATCGCGCAGAGTCAGCGGAATAAGCGGCGGCGGTAGCGGCATGCTGGGTGCGGAGGGTTGCCGACCGCTCGTGTTCCTCCAACGCGATCAGGTAATCAGTATGGAGCACGAGGAACTCACGACGCTGAGTAAGGAAGAGCTGCTCAACTTCAGCGGTGGCAGCGCGAGTGCTGGTGCCAACGGGTACTATGGGGGGCGAAGGTTCCTCGCCGGGATGGGGAATGAGAGGGGGGGGATCGCCAGGGTGAGGCGGCGGGTCCCCAAGGTCACCCTCTGGGAGACCAAGCATGATGTCCAGGAGGCGGAACGGCAGGACATAAGCACTGCCGAGGACGCGGTGGAGGCTGCCGACGAAGGAATACCAATTGGTTGCTGAGTTGTCGGCAGCGCGCACGAGATGATCGAGGGTCGAGACGTCGACGGGAGGGGGAAAGGATGCCATTGGTGACACGGAGTGGGAGGAAGGCGACGGCGGGTGGACCCGCGGTGGCCGGGAGGGAGCGGCGGCGGGTGGACCCGCGGCGGCTCAAAGAGGAGGGGAGGATGGGGATGGCTGTAGATACTGCTGCTGCCGCTGCTGCTGCTGCTGCTCCTTCTGCTGCTGCTGCTGTTGCTGTTGCTGCTGCTGCCGCTGCTGCTGCTGCCACTGCTGCTGCTGCCGCTGTTGCTGCTGCTGCTGCTGCTACTCCTTCAGCTGCTGCTGCTGCTGCTGCTGCTGCTGCTGCTACTGCTGCTGCTGAGTCTGCTGCTCCTTATGGTGCTGCTGCTGCTGCTACTGCTGCTGCTGAGTCTGCTGCTCCTTATTTTGCTGCTGCTGCTGCTATGGCTGCAGCAGTGGTAAGGCGGCGATGAGCAGGTGCAGGTGAGGAGGCAAAAGATGGGGAAAGATGGCAGTTAGCTGATGAAAATAGGACTTGGTAGAAATTTCAGTAGCACTTCGTGATCACATCCAGGAAAGTGTGCAGACTTCGGAAAGCGATATCTGACAATCCAAGCGATGAAACAGTCCGAAATTTTCCGACGTTGTAGCTGACACCAAGAGCGTTCTTTTGCAAGTCGAATCACTCAATTCTGTCAACTATCGAGCGAGCTATGGCGTTTGGCGCATTGGGGGTTTTTGAAAATCCACCCAACAGAAAACTAGTTGAGAGGCGGCGGCTAGGAGTCTAGCAGCGGCGATGGAGGGGACGGCAATGAGGTGCACGTCGGAAGGGGACGGGGCGGAAGCGTGGGGAAGGATCGGGATTTAAAAGTTGGCGTGAGCCATTATTGCTCTATACCATGTTAGAAACAGAAAGGTTCAGTTTATTGATGAAGGAAAGGCATTACATAGGAAGAGAGAGATGAGCTAGGAAGGGAAGGTTGGAAGGGAAGGGGGGGTTAGGACCAATCACAAGGGAGGGAGGCTCCTTCCAAATGTGGTTGACCACCAGTTGGAGGTGGTCCAAGTGTGGTGTACTACCAGTGGTTTAGCCAACCCACTTGTGGTGCCCCCACAATTGTGGTCCTTGTGTTTGGGGGCTCCAACCACAATTGGGTTGGATTGACACCCCAACACAGGTGTACACCCAACTAGGGATGTAAACACAATATACACAACTAGCATAGCATGGTATATTCTAACACGTTCAACCGATTGAACTCAGCAGCAGCGAAGAAGAAACTCTAAGTAGCAGCACCGACGACATCCTTGCCGACACACCTGCCGTTAATATCAAGGAAGATATTAGTCAAGAACACGAGGAAACTCTGCAAATCGCTCCTGACAAATTCTTCGACGCTACTACTACTCTCAACAAGCCTTCAGAGACATCTTCAACTACCACTCTACCAAAGAAAGGTTATGCACTCTCAAGGTTTTTACTACCTTCATATTTCGTGCTCTTGATTCTTGCTTGGCTGGACATAGGATCGGAAGGTTCGGGAAAAGTGTCGAAGTGCCTCGTTGTATCGAAGCGAGGTCTGGAAAGGCCCGGGAGGCTCGAACTGAAAGCTTTGAGACGAAAGCTCCATTAGTCCAGTAACCGTAGTCGATGTCGCTACAGGCGGTTAATGTAAACACGCCTCCAAGTTTCGCAAACACCTGCGAATTTCCTGAAAGGTCAACTCAAATCTGTCCGTCGATTTAGTCATGAAGCGAATGCCAATTGTCGAGGGAAAGTAAAAAAAACAACTGCTGCGCAGCTGCTCTCTCCCCCCTCCATGAAAAGAAAACTTTTTTTGTCGATACCGCAAATACCCTGCTTCAAGTTTCTTCAGACCCAATTTTTTTTTAATATCTTCAACCTCTGCTCGTCGGGACCAGTCTTAGCGCGACCCTATAACGCAGGGCAGCTGCACCACGTAGACTCTGAATCTGTCCGATGCCGTAGACAAATATTTATCTTCTCGACTGCCGTCGATCTGCTTCGTGTTGTTACCCTCCGTAGAAATCTTCACAACTCCACCTGACCGGTTCGCCGTGCAGACGTTCACCCTCGCGCGGCTACGGCAGGTACCCTAGAAAAACACGGGTACAGTTTTCAGCTACGAAAAACGCATTTTCTGCAATTTCACTGGCTAACCATGCTGGTATTTAAACCATCGCACTGCTCGGAAGGTACCCGTGACCCCAGCTACCGCTCCAGCCAAAAACTTGAAGAATTCCCACCCATAAAATACCCGACATTTTAGCGACGTGCCGACGTTCACTCCTCATTGCGCCCGTCCAGGTAAATCCACGAATGAGTCCTCGCAGTCGAATCTTCGATGATAGCCCTGCAACTCAGGAATAATCCTTGAAGACTCCCGCGTGACTCCAAATTTTCCGTGACGGCAACACGCTTTTCCCACTGCAACAGTAACCCTTGTCGTCCCGAAGTTCCATTTGATGAATACACTCCAGAGCATGGGTGAATCCGCCGTATGCCTGTACTTAGGTAAGTGCCAACGCTATAGTAGTAGGGCGAATTAATGAGTCTAATTCGCGGGCAAGCGCTTTGCAGCTTAAGTGAGGGATTCTCCTTCCCCTCCCTGAAAAAACCGTTTCTGCAAACATCTGCTCCAAATTGCTGCAATTTTTTTCAACTGCCGCTTCCACAATAAAACCCCCGGAGGCCGCTGTTCACCCAGCGCCTACGTCGTTCTCCCAGCAGTACCGCACACGTTCTTTTGAATAGCTCGCAACTCCGTCGATCTCAGCGACAAATCCTCGGTAATCGTATCAGACTCGAGCTCCGCGTACTGTCCGATCGTTGTCGCAAAATTCCTTCGCTATTTTCATTAACCTGCTTCACGCGCCTCCCACTATACAGCATCCGATTTTCACAAATTGTTCGCCTGTCATGTAGCGCCGAAAATATTTCTTCCTTGATCCATGAGCACAGGGTGATCTGCTGACTCACCACCCTTATTCAGCCAGAACTGTCAGAGTAGTCTTAAACCCGAACTGGTACCTGGTGGTGGTGCTGAAAATTGGGCGACCCAGCCAAGTCAGTCGGGGGATCCGTCTGCCGCTGACTCCATAAAAAAATTTCCCGGCTGTTCCCAGTTGTTCTCCATCTCTGCTTCAGCTCTTCGTCATTGACTTTTAGCGGTTGACCCGGTTATGACACTTAAACTCGACCCGAGGGTAGTTGCTGGTCGTCCTCCGTAGATCGTGGAGTGTAATTTCTGACCACAAAAATAGCTTCCGCTACAAGAATCCAGACTCGCCGAGCTCGGAATTCTAGGGCAGACGAATTACAACTCCAGGCGGGCAGGTCACGCGAAACAACTCCAAGGTCAGTACTCCTCGGAACTCCTCCGTGCCTGAGCCCCACGTGTGCTGCCATGCGATCCTTGGTCGTGTCGAAAACTCCAACGCCATATTGCTGAACTGTATCCGAAGTCCTGTAATCACCTGCGTGTCGCCTGCCAGAAACGCCGAGCCTGGTGACGTCAGCTATACTTCACCATGCAGCCACTTGTGCTACACGTGCGCCTAACAAAATCCTCTTCACCTGGGGATACCCGCGAGCTTGCCGTCTCGTAACGAGCTCCTCGCTCCATTCGGACACCAAATCCGAATCGTAGTTGCTGCTTGCCGAAAATTCTGAAAAATGCAACTGAAACGCCTTTAACAATGTGTGAAATGAACAGCATACCGGAAACACTATGCAAAAACTTTGCCATATCAGGACAGACACAACCGCCCTCGAGGGGAGGGGTTAGCAAATCCTGCTCGTCCCTCGGGGTCGGATCGACGGTCTTCAGAAGCCCACGCAAACGCAGTAATTGAAGCATATCATGTCATGCGTCAGGACCACTGCTGTGCCTTCTGTAGCGCCATCCGCCTTCTCCCCCTCCAAAAAAAATTATGCCCTCGGAAGCCCAGCGGGTGAGAAAAGTGGCTCTGAATACCAAGTGTTATGAAAGGAACTGCCGAGTAGCGCGGAGGGCAATGGCGAAACTGTGAACGAGTGAATCAATAAAAACAAAGACAATCAATATATAGGAAACCTAGGGCGATCCTGGACGTAGGATCGGAAGGTTCGGGAAAAGTGTCGAAAGGCCTCGATGTGTCGAAGCGAGGTCTGGAAAGGCCCAGGAGGCTCGAACTGAAAGGTCTGGAACCCTATCGCTGTTTTGGGACTGTTCGAGTCGTACGCTCTGTAGCAAGCCTCGGTAAGGAATTCCTAATTCCTTACTGTTATAAACAGAAAGGTTCAGTTTATTGATGAAGCAAAGGCATTACATAGGAAGAGAGAGATGAGCTAGGAAGGGAAGGTTGGAAGGGAAAGGGGGGTTAGGACCAATCACAAGGGAGGGAGGATCCTTCCAAATGTGGTTGACCACCAGTTGGAGGTGGTCCAAGTGTGGTGTACCACCAGTGGTTTAGCCAACCCACTTGTGGTGCCCCCACAATTGTGGTCCTTGTGTTTGGGGGCTCCAACCACAATTGGGTTGGATTGACACCCCAACACAGGTGTACACCCAACTAGGGATGTAAACACAATATACACAACTAGCATAGCATGGTATATTCTAACACAACCCCATAGCATGCAAAGCTAGTGTATATGTAGGGTACAACCCCAGAATCAGGAAGGGGGGCGGGGCCCAAGGCCGAGAAGGCGGAGGAGGGCAGAGTGCGCGGTCTTCGGGAGGGCCTTGGTGAAGATGTCGGCCAAGTTGGCCTCTGCAGCGATCTTGCGGACCACCAAGTGACCTTGCTGGACCAACTCTCGAACGAAGAAGTAGCGGAGTTCAATGTGCTTGGAGCGGCCATGGAAGACAGGGTCCTTTGTGAGATGGATGGTGCTGGCGTTGTCGCACCAGAGGGTGGGACAGCGCTGAGGAGCACCGATCTCAGCAAGGAGGAAGGTGAGCCAGCGAGCCTCCTGAGCGGCCATGGTGCAAGCATAGAGCTCAGCCTCGCAGGATGAGAGGGCGATGGAGGAGGAGCGAGTGGAGCGCCAGCTGATGAGGCCGCTGCCAAGGGTGAAGCCGTAGCCTTGAGAGGAACGGCGATCCGGCTGGGAGTCAGCCCAGGAGGAGTCACTGAAGCCAGAGAGGAGGGGAGGAGAAGAGCCTCCGAGGGTGAGGACATAGTCCTTGGTACCACGGAGGTAGCGGAGAACCCGCTTCGCTGCAGCCCAGTGCTCATCAGTGTGGCGACCGGTACCGACGAATCGAGCAAGAACACTGATGGGGTAGGCAAGGTCGGGGCGGGTGCACATCATAGCGTACATCAGCGAGCCGACGAGCTCAGCGTAAGGATGGTCAGAGGAGGAGGGAGCAGGAGGAGGGGCAAGCTGGTGGTCGGTCTGCAGGGGAGTGGTAACCGGCTTTGCCTGCGCCATGTCGAACCGCTGCAAGACTTGGTCGATGTAGAAGGACTGAGAGAGGGTAATGGTGCGCGATGTGCGGTCCCGGGTGATGGTCATGCCCAGATAGTGCTTGAGCTCACCCAGGTCCTTGCACTTGAGGCGCGCATGCAGGGCGTCCTTCACTTGCTGCATGGCGGCAGCATCGTCGGCGAACAGGATCATGTCGTCGACATACACCAGGATGAAGAAGCGGGTGGGAGAGGAGCGAAGGAAAAGGCTGGCATCAGACTGAGAGGCATGGAACCCCAAGGACTGCAGAGTGGCGGCCAGCTTGTTGTGCCACTCGCGAGGAGCCTGCTTGAGGCCATAAACCGGGCGGCGCAGCTCCCAGACTGTGTTGGGAGGGAAGGCTGCATGAAAGCCTGGAGGCCGCCGCAAGAGGACCCGCTCCTGGAGCTCGCCTTGCAGGAAGGCGTTGGAGACATCCATGGAGGCAATCTCCATGCCAATGCGAACAGCATAGTCGAGGATGGCACGGAGAGTTGGGAGCTTGGCAGTGGGAGAGAATGTCTCCCAGTAGTCGATGCCATGGGTTTGGGTGAAGCCCTTGGCACAATACCGGGCCTTGTAGACCGGCTCCTCACCCGGCAGCTGCTTCACTCGGAACACCCACAGGCCTTCAACAATGACGTCGTCAGGAGAGGGGACAATGTTAACGAATGAGGCATTGCGGATGAAGGCCTCGCATTCAGCAAAGATAGCCTGGATCCACTTGGCAGCATCGGGGCAGGTGATGGCCTCAAGGAAGTTGGACGGAGTGAATCTGGTGGGAGCGGTAGCGATGCCAAGGATGAGGAGGCCAAGGAAGCCCGGGTAGAGAGGCGTGAGGGAAGGTGTTTGTTGCTGAACGCCAATGAGCTCCTCATGGGAGTCCTCAATGAAGGGAAGGGAGGGTGGGGGTGGTGTTGGCCAACCCCATGGATGGCCTATGAGTGGGCCGTGAGAGCGAGTGTGGATGCGTGGGAGGATGAACGGAGAGGTGGTGCGGCGATGCCGATGAGGTTGCTGCAGTGGCTGATGCTGCTGCTGCTGCTGCTGCTGTGGCTGCTGCTGGTGCTGCTGCTGCACCTCCTGCTGCGGCTGCTGTTGCTGCACTGCCTGCGGTTGCTGCTGCTGCTGCTGCTGCTGCTCCATCCGCTGCTGCACCTCCTGCTGCTCCATCCGCTGCTGCTGCTGCTGCTGCTGCTGCTGCTGCTGCTGCTGCTGCTGCTGCTGCTGCTGCTGCTGCTGCTGCTGCTCCATCCGCTGCTGCTGCTGCACCTGCTGCTGCTGCTGTTGCTGCTGCTGCTGCTGCTGCTCCTTCTGCTGCTGCTGCTGCTGCTGCTGCTGCTGCTGCTGCTGCTGCTGCTGCTGCTGCTGGTGCTGGTGTGATGAGGCAGAGTGAGCAGGGGAGTCAGGGACAGCTGGGTCGTAAATGTCACCTGAGGAAGGAGGAGGGGGAGGAGCAGGATTTGGAGGAAGGAGGGGAGCCTGGGGAAGGAGTGGGGGAATGACAGCATCAGTCCAGGTGAGGGGGCGGGAGAGAGGAGGAAGGGGGTCGGAAGGCGGAACAGAATGATAGAACGGGATGCTCTCATCGAACACCACGTCACGGCTCTGTAGGAGGCGGCCTGAGGACGGGTGAAGGAAGAGGTAACCAGGGGCAGAGCGAGCGTGGCCAAGGTAGACACACTCAATGGCCTTGGAGGCGAGCTTTCCTGCCTGCCGAGAGCGGTCAGGTGGGGGGATGAGGACATATGCCTTGCAACCCCAGATACGGAGAATGGCAGCATCTGGCTTGGTGCTAGCCCAGAGCTCAGTGGGAGTGACAGACTGGCGTTGAGGATGTGGGTAAAGATTAGTAAGGAGAGCAGCATGGACAAGGGCATAGCCCCAAAGAGAAGGGGGCGTGGAGGCATGAGTGAGGAGGCAGCGGGCCGTCTTGGTGATCTCACGAATGCGACTCTCAGCAACACCGTTCTGCTGAGGGGAGTGGGGAAGGGTATGAGTCTGCTGGATGCCATGGGTTGAGCAGTAGGAGGAGAGGGTGCGGTTGAGAAACTCACCACCGCCGTCGGAATGGAGGCGGCGGATGGGGCGACCAAAGTGGACTCGACACTGCTCGGCCCAGGTAACGATGACAGCAGGGGCCTCGGCCTTCGTATGGAGGAGGAACACCGAGGAGTACCTGCTGTGGTCGTCGACTAGGACAAGCATGTACCGGTGCCCTTGGCGGGAAGGGGAAGGGTTAGGGCCCCAGAGGTCCATGTGGACGAGGTCAAGGGGGGCAGCAGCAAAGGAAGGATGACTGAGGTGAGGCTGTTGTTTGAGCTTTCCATGAATGCATGTGGCGCATGGGGGAGCGGAAGAGGACGGGAGGGGAGGAAGAGTGGGGGGAAGACCGTCAAGCAAGCGGGAGGAGACGGCTTTACGAAGTGTGGGAAAGTTCATATGACCAAGGCGGTGGTGGATGAGAACAGCGGGGTGGGACAGTGCGCGACAAGAGCATGGGGAGGAGGTGGAGTTGGAGGAAGGTGGCTCTAGAGGGAGGGGAGGGGGGAGAGTGGAGGTGCCTGCACGAGTGGTCACGTGGCATGAGGAGGGGCGGGGTGTGCGGAGGATGTACTGACGAGAGCGAGGGCAAAGTGGGAGGCGATGAAGGAGGCGGCGAGTGGGGCCGTGGAGGAGGTCACAGTAGGTGGCAGAGGCGGGGAAGAGGGTAGTGATGCCAGCCTGTTGGAGTTCACGAATGGAGAGCAGGTTATGACGAAGGGAGGGAATGTGGAGACCAGTGACCACTCCAGAGGGGAAGGGGGGGCAGGGGAGGGTGGAGAGATGAGTGCAAGGGATGGAGAAGCTGGAATCAGCACCATGAACGTTGGTGGGGAAAGGGAGGGAGGTGAGGGTGCCGGCGTCTTTGAGGGCAGTTTCAGTGGCACCACTATCGAGAACAAAGTCAATCGTGAGCGAGGAGGGAGCTGAAGACACGGGGTACTGGAAATCACTGGCATTAAAAACAGAGGGATACATGGAAGTGGAAGCAGGGGAAGAACGCATGAGCTCGCCTAGAAAGCTGGAGTGGGAGGCGGGAGCACTAGGGGAAGGAGAGCCCCAGAGGGGAAAGCCAGGAGGACCTGGTGTGGCTGTGGCAGCCATGGCGGCGGTGCCAAAGCCAAGCTGCTGCTGCTGCCATGCAGATGCTGCGGCTGCGGCTCCTGCAGCTGCGGCTGCAGCCTGACCACCAGAGCCCCACTGCTGCTGCTGCTGCAGCAGCTGCAGCTGCTGGAAGCGGCGAAACTGCTGCAGCTCCTGGGGAGTTATGGGGTCAGCGACAGAGGAGGAGGAGGAGGAGGAGAGCTGAAGATGAGAGGGGAGAAAAGACGGAAGAGTTTTGACATCCTGGAGAGAGGGGCGGGGATCCATGGCAGACCAGCGTGGGGGTGTGCCAGTGTTGCCGCGCTCGAACCAGGCGTCATCATACGCCTTGAAGCAGGTCGCGGGGGGATGGTTGGTTTGGGTGCAGCGCTCACCCGCCCTGGGACCAAAACGGCGAAGATAGGAACATGGGGGGAGAGTGCCAGGGCGGCCACCACGGCTACCAGATGAGCCACCACTGCCTCCACCACCACCACTGCTGCCACCCTCGACCCCGCCACCACCGCCGCCGGCTCCGCTGCCCCCACAACCGCCACCTCCACCCCCTCCCTGAGGGTTGGTGCGGCCGCCACGTGGGCGCCCGCCACGACGCGGCTGTGTGACTGCAAGCTGGGGGTTTTGGGACGCGGTGGAGTTCAGGCCGGAGGGGGGGGTTGAGAGAAGGCGGGCCTCAGCGTCAATGATCCATTGGACCACAGTGTCAAGGGAGGCGCGGGGCTGAGCCTCAGTGAAGGCGATGACGCGCACTTCATATTGAGGGGAGAGGCCTTCGAGGAGACGGTAGATCTGAAGGTTGGGGGGGAGAGTAGTCTGGCGAGCCTCAAGGCGGGAGGCAAGGTCCAGGAGACGGCTGGTGTAGTCAACGGCGCCAGCACTGTGTTCGATCGTGATGCTGAAGTATTCCTTGAAGAGCGGTCCGACAGCATCGAAGTCGGTGCGTTCGAACATTGCCTCAAGCTCGAGCCAGATCTGGCGGGAGCCGATGCGACGTGCCTGGAAGTTGCGCATGAGCGCAGACGGGATGGCAAGGAGAAGGGCACCAGTAGCACGGCTGTCCGCCTCGAGCCAGGCGCGACGACGCTCAGCAAATCGCGCAGAGTCAGCGGCATAAGCGGCGGCGGTAGCGGCATGCTGGGTGCGGAGGGTTGCCGACCGCTCGTGTTCCTCCAACGCGATCAGGTAATCAGTATGGAGCACGAGGAACTCCCGACGCTGAGTAAGGAAGAGCTGCTCAACTTCAGCGGTGGCAGCGCGAGTGCTGGTGCCAACGGGTACCATGGGGGGCGGAGGTTCCTCGCCGGGATGGGGAATGAGAGGGGGGGGATCGCCAGGGTGAGGCGGCGGGTCCCCAAGGTCACCCTCTGGGAGACCAAGCATGATGTCCAGGAGGCGGAACGGCAGGACATAAGCACTGCCGAGGACGCGGTGGAGGCTGCCGACGAAGGAATACCAGTTGGTTGCTGAGTTGTCGGCAGCGCGCACGAGATGATCGAGGGTCGAGACGTCGACGGGAGGGGGAAAGGATGCCATTGGTGACACGGAGTGGGAGGAAGGCGATGGCGGGTGGACCCGCGGTGGCCGGGAGGGAGCGGCGGCGGGTGGACCCGCGGCGGCTCAAAGAGGAGGGGAGGATGGGGATGGCTGTAGATACTGCTGCTGCTGCTGCTGCTGCTGCTGCTGCTGCTGCTGCTGCTCCTTCTGCTGCTGCTGCTGCTGCTGCTGCTGCTGCTCCTTCTGCTGCTGCTGCTGCTGCTGTTGCTGCTGCTGCTGCTGACGCTGCTGCTGCTGCCACTGCTGCTGCTGCCGCTGTTGCTGCTGCTGCTGCTGCTGCTCCTTCAGCTGCTGCTGCTGCTGCTGCTACTGCTGCTGGTGCTGCTGCTGCTGAGTCTGCTGCTCCTTCTGGTGCTGCTGCTGCTTCTGCTGCTGCTGCTATGGCTGCAGCAGTGGTAAGGCGGCGATGAGCAGGTGCAGGTGAGGAGGCAAAAGATGGGGAAAGATGGCAGTTAGCTGATGAAAATAGGACTTGGTAGAAATTTCAGTAGCACTTCGTGATCACATCCAGGAAAGTGTGCAAACTTCGGAAAGCGATATCTGACAATCCAAGCGATGAAACAGTCCGAAATTTTACGACGTTGTAGCTGACACCAAGAGCGTTCTTTTGCAAGTCGAATCACTCAATTCTGTCAACTATCGAGCGAGCTATGGCGTTTGGCGCATTGGGGGTTTTTGAAAATCCACCCAACAGAAAACTAGTTGAGAGGCGGCGGCTAGGAGTCTAGCAGCGGCGATGGAGGGGACGGCAATGAGGTGCACGTCGGAAGGGGACGGGGCGGAAGCGTGGGGAAGGATCGGGATTTAAAAGTTGGCGTGAGCCATTATTGCTCTATACCATGTTATAAACAGAAAGGTTCAGTTTATTGATGAAGCAAAGGCATTACATAGGAAGAGAGAGATGAGCTAGGAAGGGAAGGTTGGAAGGGAAAGGGGGGTTAGGACCAATCACAAGGGAGGGAGGATCCTTCCAAATGTGGTTGACCACCAGTTGGAGGTGGTCCAAGTGTGGTGTACCACCAGTGGTTTAGCCAACCCACTTGTGGTGCCCCCACAATTGTGGTCCTTGTGTTTGGGGGCTCCAACCACAATTGGGTTGGATTGACACCCCAACACAGGTGTACACCCAACTAGGGATGTAAACACAATATACACAACTAGCATAGCATGGTATATTCTAACACTTACACTTACAGTGTTATAACTCCACACATATTCGCTATGTGTATCAGTGTTGAGGAATAATGGATTCCTCCTTGAAATGAAGGCATGAGGCTATATAATTAGTGTCAGGCCCGAGGGTTCTGCGAGAAAACCCAAGGCTGGTTTTTTTTTGGCTTGGGGCCTAAGAAAAAACTGGCTGTGTTTGCCAGGTAGCCGACAACCCCACCATTCAGAATTCGCGCGAATAGTCCCCCACCAATGTGGTACCAGTAGCAACCGACCCCCGATCATGGGTTGAGTCAAATGGGACTCAACCCACTCGTCACATGAGTCACCTAAATAGTCACATCTTGCTTTTGCGACAAACCGATACTCTTTCGCCGATGCACCCGTCAAGGACAGTAGCCCGCAGTTAGGTTGTGACAAGAGGAGAAAGTATCGCAACGGGAAGCTCGGCCGCTCACCTAAGTCTGTGAGCAAGAATGTCAGCCACCGAAGCTCCTGTGCCGCCATGGCACCAGCGTAGATCTCAGACTCACAGCTAGACTGTGCAACAGATGACGAGCAGGTGGACCTCCATGAGATAGCGCCTGCACCTAGGCTAAATTAGTCGCCCTGGGAGGATCTGAGCGTCTCAGCGTCGTCCGCCCATGAAGCGTCTATGTGCCTAGTGAGACCACTGGCACTAATCCCATGCCCGATGTACTTGCTAGATAATGCAAAACCCTCTTAGCGGTCGACCAGTGATGGGGTCGGTGTCTGCCAGTCGCCTCAAAGCGAGCCAAAATGCTGAGTGGTTATGCAAGATCTGGACGAGTGCAAATCATCAGGTACATGAGGCAGCCTACCAGCTTTGCGTACGGACCACTGGGCTCAGCTGACTCGTCAGGGACTGGAGCCGAGAGCTTGTGATCTACTGGCAAAGATGTAGGCTGTGCCAAAGAGAAGTGAAGGCTGAACCTCTGAAGGACCTGGTGCACCAAGTGTGACTGTGTGAGAGTGATGGTGCACGTTGCTCTGTCCCTGGAGATATGCAGACCAAGGTAGCAGCGCAACTCTCCTAGGTCAGTGCAGGTGTGTCTCTGTTGCAGCTTGGCCATTGAGGCCAGTGCGTCTCTGTCTGCAGTAACGAAGACCAAGTCGTCTATGTAGACTAGGATGTAGAACGGAGTCTGGCCTGAACGAACGAAGAGCGACTGATCAGCAGAGGACAGGAAGAACTGCAGGTCTGCTAACGTAGTGCGCAACGTGTCGTGCCACTCACGGGGCACCTGTCGCAGACCGTAGACCAGGCGCCGCAGGAGCCACTCGGTCCCAGGAGCGAAGGTGCCAGAGAAGCCTGGCGGACGGCGCAGGTAGACCTGCTCGTGCAGAGGGCCATTGAGAAACGTTGTGGAGAAGTCGAGGGAGTTCATCTCGTAATCGCGTTGTGCTGCAACATAAAGCAGCGCCGGAAGAGTGGTCGTTTTCGGGGTTGGGACGAAGGTGTGAATGAAGTCAACACCCTCGCAATGACTGAAGCCTCAAGCAACGTAGCGCAACTTGAACACCAGCAGCTCTCCAGGATGGCACTTCACCTTGAAGAGCCACCGCCATCGACAACTTCACTCCAGGTGGGGGAATTGCATCGATGAAGGTGCTGGTGGATCTCCAAGATGTCATCTCCGCGTCCATGGCAACTATCCACAAAGTGGCCCAAGGTCCCGAGGTCGCCTCAGCATAGGTGCGAGGGGTCGAGATGTCAAGAGTGTCAGGGTCACCCTCAGGGGCTAGCAGCATGGAGCAGAGATGGGGAGCAGCCTCACACAGGAAAGCAAGCTCGTACTGCCTGTCCTCTAGGACGTCCAAGGGCAAGTGCACCCGTGACGGACAGAGGACGGGTAGGGTCAGAGACCAGAGTGGTGGCGTAGTCAAGGCGGTGGGTAGAGGCAAATTCAGCGATGGCAGCAACAAGAACCGAGAGACCGGAGACAGAAACGGACGGGTCGGTAACAAGAGAGGTGAGGACCCGTGGATCAAGGGGAATAGCAGCACAGAGATAGTCAGAGATTGGAGGCGGAGAGACGACAAGCAACAACTGAGAAGGCGATGGGAGGAGAGGAGCACGAGACACGTGAGAACGGAGCTACATAGGGTGGGAACGTGGAACTGGGGAGACAGGATGCACGAGAGGGACTTCGAGACCAGAAGTGGGAGGGATGCGTCGGGTCAGGAGACACTGGAGGAGACAGAGGAGGAGAACAAGGGGGGAAACGCGCCGGGGACGATTTCGGCGGAGGAAACACAGGGCCTTAGACAGGCGGAGGAGGCGGCGCCCGGGGAGGCGTGGGCAGGCGGTTGGGGAAGTGAAGACCGAGGAGGCGAAGAGCGGACACCGATAGCGACTACTGCTGTTGCTCCATGCCAACACCAGAGCCTCTAGCTGCACCACTGCTACCCCCAAGACCCTCCATGACAGCACTTCCAGAACAAGAACCCTCTCCAGCACCGGTGCCACCCCTAAGACCGTTGGGACAAACCACGACAGTACCTCCAAAACTAGCACCCCCAGGACCAGCACCCTCCTCTGAGCCCACCCTCCCTTGAGCTCGCGGACCCCTGCGGTTGCGGTGGCGGCGATGGTAGCTGCTGCTTTGGCGGTGGCTGCTGCTGCTGCGACTGCGATGGCAGCTGCTGCTGTGGCGGCGGTGGAGGAGACACCGGGACGGAGACACGCAAGGGACCCTTCGCCCCCAGAGTCAGCCGACTCCTCCGACGAGGCAACCGAGGTAAGGGGAGTGACATGAGACACACCAGACAGGGAAGGATGGGGAGGGAGTGAACCAGGAGCTAACGGGGGAGTGGGGACAAGGAACAGGGGCGGGGTAACCGGGAGACCTCGGTGGAGAAAGCGGGTTTAACAGGAGACAAACTCGTCAAAGGTGACGTCACGCAAATGAAAGAAGCGGTGAGACAGCAGGTGGTAAAAGTGCCAGTCACACGCGTCGAGGGGGAAGCCAATGAAGACACAAGGGACGGTGCGGGTAGTGAGCTTGTCTGTGCCAGAGGCACGAACATGAGCGAGGTAGCCCTAGACGTTGAACGCAGACGTGTCACCACGGAGCACGGTCCAGAGAACAGTCGGCAAACTGTGCGGCCACTGGGAGTGTGGCCACTGGTTAATCTGGAGAGCGGCGTAGCGAACAGCGAACAGCCACAGAAAGTGGAGTGCACCGGCATGGATCGTGGAGGTATGAGCCACCTCTATGACCGAACCGATGCGTCACTCAGCGACCACATTCTTCTGCGGGGAGTCCAGAAGGGTGAACTACTCGGTAATGCCCTCCGCACGACAGAACTGGCCAAGCCGACCGGAGGCAAACTAACCGCCACGGTCAGAGTGGAGATGGAGGAGGGCGCGATGGACACGCGCAGCGAGAAGCCATGTGATATGAGCGTCAGGCACATTGAACTTTTGCTCTAGAGGAAACAATGTGGTGTAGCGAGTGTAGTCGTCTATGAGCACCAGAAAGTAGCGCTCGCGACGTGGCCTAGGGACGGGGGCTAGGCCCCTAACGTCCAGGTGCAGGGTCTGAAGTGGCGCAGTGGTGGGGGGAAGCGAGGAGGAGTGAGGAGCACGGCGCATTCGGCCCTTGACACAAGGCATGCACGGAGGCGCGGGTGAGGAAGGGAGGGCAAGGAGCGACGTAGGGAGACCTAAGACAAGACCATGCTGTGACATGTTGGTGCATATTCATTTGCACGTCATCCTGTCGTCTGTTCGCATCATTTCGTTTGCATGTGTTTTTGTGTGCTACGTTGTTTGTATGGTTTGTTGGGTTTGCATGTCTTTGCATGTTCATCTTGTGCTTGTGCAGATGTGCTTGGATTGTGCATGACATCGAGCACATTCCAACGAGCCAAGAATTGTTGGAATCGGAGCACATATGAAGAAGTTACGAAGAAATGTTTGATGGATTTGTTACAACTCATTGGAAGTCCTTGTCAGCTGCTACACCAAAGTTGGAGAGCCCTATAACGAGGAGGGACCAGCATGTGTGGGACTTTTGTCCCCACCTTGCAGCTGCAGCATTTGGGGTTTGGAGGCCAACCTGGCACAGTGTGAAATTTGTCTTGCCAGGCTGGCTGAACCTGAGGATGGGGAGTCAAAACTTTGACTCTTGTCATGTTCTTGACCATGGGCCTCCAGGGTCCTTCCCTTTCATCCTTCACTTCCTACCCCACCTTCCAACTGTGTTTCAATGCCTTTTCTATCATGCCTCTGATCTTGTAAGCTTCAATCATAGTGACTCTGAGGACTGTCAACTTCTCCTAGGGCAGATTACCCCCCAGTGCGCCAAACGCCATAGCTCACTCGTTTAGCTACGGAATCGAGTGATTCAACTTTCAGTGGAAAGCTGACACTGCCAGCTACAACATATCCGATTTTCAGATCGTTTCACCGATTGGAGTTTTTGATATAGCTATTCGAAGGTCGCGAGTTTTCTGGGCGTCATAACGAAGTGCTGCAGAAATTTCCAAGGAGCCATTGAATCATCTGCTTATAGCCTTCTCTAACCAACAAGTGGTATCAGAGCCTATTATCACGCATTTGGGACCTAAAATACGATGGGAGATAAAGAGGACTCTGGTGGAGGTGATACTTCAGTCCAAGGAGGCAGCTCAACCCAAGATTCTGGCATTGCAGCGCAAAGGGGAGCGCGTACAAGCCAGGGGTCACTGCTTAAGGAGGTGCTGAAGAACTTCACCATTGAGAAGTTCTCTGGAGATGGCTATGATGATTGGGCATGGAAGATGCAGCTCTACTTTCGACAAATTGGCCTCTTGAAGCTCATGATTGGAACGGAGCCAAGGCCAAAGGAAATGGCAGAGCAAGCGGACTGGGATGAACGTTCATCTGCTGGGTACTATCTACTGTCACAAAGCTTGGAGCTGAACCAGAGGCATCACATCATGCATCTGCTACCGGAAATTGATTGTGGGCCCAAGGCATGGGCAGTGCTCAAGGACCTGCACGCTCCGACATCGGTTGCCGCTTCTCTCATGCTGGATCGGGAGCTGTCCATGCTGCGGTTGAGCGAGAATGAAGCTGTGCAGCCCGTACTGGACAAGATGAGGGAACTCTACGCGAAATTGGCGATTGCAGGCATCACGTACCCAGAGCAGACAAAGTGTCTCAAGATGCTCAGCCTGCTGCCGGAGTCTTGGCTGCAATTTATAAGCGGACTCAGCTTGCCACAAAACCAAAGTCAATGGACATTGGAGTGGATTCGCACCAAGATTCTGGAAGAAGATTTTCGTCGCTATACACTGCGCGGAGGTGATGACAGCACCAGCGGCTATGCCATGCAAGGGACATGGAGGGATCGAGGGCGTGGCAATCGCGGTCGCTCTTACCACAGCCAAGGTGGTCGCGGGACTTGGAACCAGCGGGGGCGTGGTGGCGCTGGTGCAAGAGGAAGAGGTGGTCACTCCAACAATGACAACAGTGAACCACGCTTGAGGGGAGAGTGCTGGTATTGCAAGGAAGAAGGGCATCCATGGTTTCGCTGCCCTACCAAGCCCGACTGGTGGACCCCTTGGAACCAATCGGAGAAGGGGAATGGAGGAAAACAACCACATGGAGGTGCCAACATGGTAGCTGATCCTGCTGAAGAAACCTCCAAGGATGACAGAGGAATGCGAAATGAGGAGAGGAATGCTGGACAGTTCTACCATGTGTGTGACAAAGATGACAGTGGCACAGCTGTTGCAAGGGCTGGAGAGGAATTGCACCCGCTTGACATGTGGGTCATGGACTCTGGTGCTGCATGGACAATGACACCACGCAAGGACTTGCTGGATGCTGTGCGAGCGCCTCCAATCTCTGAAGTGCGCTCAGCATCCGGACATGCAGTGAAGGTCGCTGGAGTTGGTCGAGCTGCATTCAGAGCACCTGATGGTGGACTGGTTGTGCTGAAGGATGTGTTACTCGTACCGGGGCTGAAGGCCAACCTGATATCGCTGCGCAAGCTAGGCCAGGCCGGAGTCAGCACCACCACCAATGGATCCAAAACATTCAAGGGGCTGCGAGGAGATCGTGTGTTATGGGATTTACACGAAAGCAGAGATGTCTTCAGATCCATGTGGCAGATCCCTGCACTGATATGGGAATCAACAAAGAAGGAGTTGGGAGAAGTAAAGGCGGGTTCTGGAGTCCAGGGGAGTGTAATGCAGTTAGTGCTGCAGGAGTGACGGTTTCTGCAAGGTCGGGGGAGACTGATTGGGAAACCGCACACAGGCGTCTAGGGCATGTGGCTATGCCATTGCTGCAGCAACTGCATAAGGAAGAAGCAGTAAAGGGGCTCAAGCTTTCTGGGCAACCAAATGCTACCAAGTGCGAGACGTGTCTGCTGAGCAAGTTCACACGGTTCCCCTTTCACGGCGTAGCTGGGAAAAGCAAGGCAGCACTGGAACTGGTGCACATGGACCTCGTAGGACCTTTTCCAGTCCGAGGAAGTAAGGGGGAAAGGTACTTCCTGACAATAGTTGATGACTGGAGTCGGCTGATGTGGGCATACCCGTTGAAGCAGAAGGATCATGCTGCCTCAACAATACGAGATGATTGGCTGCCGTTCGTCGAGCGACCAATCTGGGCACCCATGCAAGAGCATCAGAACCGACCGAGGTGGAGAGTTTCTAGGAGGAGATCTGACTGCGTGGCTCAAGAAACAAGGCATTGAGCATCAGCTAACGACGTCCTATACCCCTCAGTCAAATGGCGTTGCTGAGAGGGCTAATAGGACCATCCTGGAAACTGCGCGAGCGCTGCTGATCGAATCAGGGCTGGGGAACTCCATGTGGCCTCATGCGGTGAGGCATGCTACAGTGGCAAGGAACCGCGTACTCACAAAGGTGGCTGATGATATGTGGGTGCCGCTGGAGAGGTGGCTTGGAAAGAAGCCTCCAGTGGACATGCTTCGAGTGTTCGGATGCATGGCAGTGGCGCATGTCCCTAAACCGTACAGGACAAAGCTTGGAGCATCTGCACTTTGGTGTGTGCACCTTGGGCTTGCGGCAGAGAGCAAGGGGTGGCTACTCTGGGAGCCCTCAAAGAATGTGCTGTTTGATAGTCGGGATGTCAAATTTGTGGAGAACATCATGTATGGCAAGTGGGAGAAGCAGCCGGAGGCAAGGGTCACCCAGCAGCTGGAAGAGATCACTATGCACTTCGATCTGTCCGAACCTGAGGACAGCGAAGTCACTGCGCCAACGGCAAGCGGTACTGATGAAGGAAGCAATGAGGATATTGCAGCTGATGCTGAAGTCAAGGATCCGGAGCAGCAGCAGCAAGAGGCTTCCAAAACACCAAGTCTGCCAAAGCGAAGGAAACAGATTGGTGGGGGACAAAGGATTGGGTGAAGGTGAAAGAATGGGTAAATCCAACCATCTACCCTGCACGTACCAGAATGGCAATGAGAAAGCTGTTGAGCTCCACAAGTGGAGGAGCCACAACTGAGCAGCAGGAACAGGCTCAAGGCGAAGATGCAGTGCTGTTCTTGGGTGATGACCAAGAGTCAGATGACAAGGAGCCTGCATACTGCTTTTACGCACCAATACAACCTCCGAGCATGGATCATGCGCTAGCCGGGCCTCAACGGGGGAAGTGGCTCGTTTCAAGAGATGCAGAGTACAACAGCAAGATGGAGAATCACACATGGGACCTGGTGTATTGCCAAATGGGAAGAAGGCAATACAGTGCAAGTGGCTGGCAAAAATCAAGACGGATGAGAAAGGAGAGCCATCAGTTTACAAGAGCAGGCTGGTGGCAAAGGGTTTTCAGCAGAAAGAGAAGGAAGATTACAAAGAAGTGTTTGCCCCAACTGCTAAGTCTCCAACGCTACGTGTGCTGCTGGCGGTAGCTGCTGTGCGCAAATGGAAGGTGAAGCAGATGGACATCGTAACCGCTTTTCTGTACGGCATTGTGGAAGAGGAGGTGTACATGGTTCAACCACCTGGCTATGAGGATGGAACCGGTCGTGTCTGCAAACTTAACAAGGCCATCTATGGCTTGAAGCAGGCCCCGAGATGCTGGTACAACAGGCTGGCCAGTGCACTGGAAGGGATTGGATTCCGTGCGAGTGCATGCGACGAGAGCCTGTTCCTGATGGGAGAGGGGGAGTCACTTGTGCTTCTGCTGGTGTACGTGGATGACATCCTGCTCTTCAGCAGCAGTGACAAGGAGATCGATGGGGTGCAGCGGAAGCTCACAGAGCAGTTCAAGTGCAAGTCACTTAGAGAGGCAAGGTACTACCTGGGAATGCATATTGAGCGGGATACTGAACGTGGCTGGCTCAAACTGCATCAGGGACAGTACATCAACACCTTGGCTGAGAAGTACTCTCTGCAGGAAGAACGGGAAGTGGTCACACCTTTGCCTTCCGAGTTCAAACTCATAAAGGCAGCTGAAGGAGAAGGAGTTGAGAGTGAAGACCAGAGGCAATTCCAATCCATGGTCGGGAACCTACTCTACGCTGCTGTGCATACTCGGCCTGACAGCAGCTTTGCTGTGGGACAGCTGGCTCGAGTAGTGCAAAATCCAACAGAAGAGCAGTGTGGTGCAGCGAAGAGAGTGGTGCGCTACCTCAAGTCATACCCTACAGTGGGAGTACAGTATTCAGCCTCTGCTCAACTCAGTCAAAAAAGAATTGAAGTCCTCAAAGAGAAGGGGGAGCAGCTCGGAGAAGGAAAGGTGTTCCTTTCCTGTTTTGCTGATGCCACGTGGGCTTCTGAGCATGAGGATTCATCATCAGTTGGTGGATACATCTGCATGGTGGGAGGTGGGCCTGTAAGTTGGAGGTCCAAGAAGCAGTCTGAGACGGCACTATCTTCAGTGGAATCTGAGTACATGGCGATGTTTCATGCGGCAAAAGAAATCATCTGGCTAAGGAGGCTCTTGAAGGAGATCGGCCATGAACAGACTTGTGCGACACCTCTGTTCAGTGATAGCAAGGGAGCCATTGCCATGGCACGCAATGCAGTTCTTCATGGGTTGAACAAGCACATGAGGATCATGTGGCATTGGCTGCGGAAGGAGGTGAAGCTTGGGACACTGGATCCGATCTACGTGAAAACTCAGCAACAGCCAGCCGACTTCCTTACCAAGCGGCTAGCTGAAGAGCCACACTGGCGCTGTGCGAGGATGGCGGGAATGTCCTTGAACTAGAGACGGCGAAACAAGCCGACAGTCTGAGGGGGAGTGTGTTGGTGCATATTCTTTGCACGTCATCCTGTCGTCTGTTCGCATCATTTCGTTGCATGTGTTTTGTGTGCTACGTTGTTTGTATGGTTTGTTGGGTTTGCATGTCTTTGCATGTTCATCTTGTGCTTGTGCAGATGTGCTTGGATTGTGCATGACATCGAGCACATTCCAACGAGCCAAGAATTGTTGGAATCGGAGCACATATGAAGAAGTTACGAAGAAATGTTTGATGGATTTGTTACAACTCATTGGAAGTCCTTGTCAGCTGCTACACCAAAGTTGGAGAGCCCTATAACGAGGAGGGACCAGCATGTGTGGGACTTTTGTCCCCACCTTGCAGCTGCAGCATTTGGGGTTTGGAGGCCAACCTGGCACAGTGTGAAATTTGTCTTGCCAGGCTGGCTGAACCTGAGGATGGGGAGTCAAAACTTTGACTCTTGTCATGTTCTTGACCATGGGCCTCCAGGGTCCTTCCCTTTCATCCTTCACTTCCTACCCCACCTTCCAACTGTGCTTCCAATGCCTTTTCCATCATGCCTCTGAACTTGTAAGCTTCAATCATAGTGACTCTGAGGACTGTCAACTTCTCCTAGGGCAGATTACCCCCCAGTGCGCCAAACGCCATAGCTCACTCGTTTAGCTACGGAATCGAGTGATTCAACTTTCAGTGGAAAGCTGACACTGCCAGCTACAACATATCCGATTTCAGATCGTTTCACCGATTGGAGTTTTTGATATAGCTATTCGAAGGTCGCGAGTTTTCTGGGCGTCATAACGAAGTGCTGCAGAAATTTCCAAGGAGCCATTGAATCATCTGCTTATAGCCTTCTCTAACCAACAGGAACTGCGTCGATGTAGGTGCCAATGGATCTCCAAGATGCCATCTCCGTGTCAATGGCAGCTATCCACTGAGAGGCCCAGGGTCCCGAGGTCGCCTCAGATAAGTGCGAAGTTTCGGAATGTCAAGGGCATCTGGGTCACCCTCAGGGACTAGCAGCATGTATCAGAGATGAGGAACGGCCTCAGACAGGAATGGGAGCTCGCACTGCCGGACATCCAGGACGTCACTGCCAAGGACAGGAGCACCCCTGATGGACAGAGGACGAGGAGGGTCAGAGACTAGAGCGGTGGCATAGTCAAGGCGGCGGGTAGAGGCAAAGTCAGCGACGCCAGTGACAAGAACAGAGAGACTAGAGACAGGTCCCGAGTAACAAGAAGGCTAGCGGCACGAAGGATGTCCGACAGAGGAGGGGAGGATGAGGCACGTGGGAACAAAGCAACATAGGGTGAGAACGCGGAGGAGGACGAGCACGAGAGGCACGGCGAGACCACCAGCGGGAGGATGGGGTCGGGTCAGGAGACAAGGGTGGAGAAACAGGAGGAGAACGTTAGGGGAAGCAAGCCGGAGACAGTTCCGGTGGAAGAAACAAAGGGCCGTAGATAGGCGGGGGAGGCGGCGGCGGGGGAGGTGCAGACCGGTGGTCAGGGAAGGGAAGACTGAGGAGGCGAAGGGCGGACACCGGCGGAGACTGCTGCCGCTGCTGCTGCTCCTCTCCAACACCAGAACCTCCAAGTGCTCCACGGCTACCTCCGGGATGCTCCAATCCAACACCCCCAAAACAAAAACCCGCTCCTACACCGGTGCCACCCCTAGAACCGCCGGGACAAGCCATGGCATTACCCCCAGGAATAGCACCCTCCACAATGCCCCCACCCCCAGAGCTCGCGGACCCTTGCGGCGGCTGCTGCTGCTGCGGCGACGATTGCGACTGCTACTATGGCTGCGACGGCGGCGACGGTGGCTGCTAATGCAGTGGCGACGGTGGCTGCTGCTGTTGCGGTGGTAAAGGATAGAACACCAGGCATAGACGGGCGGCAAAACCGAAGCCGTAGGGCCCCCGTAGTCAACCAACTTCTCTAACAGGACTACCGACGGGAGGGGAGTGACGTGAGACACACCAGACGGGGCAGGACGGGGAGGAAGAAGAGCAGGGGCTACCGGGGGAGTGGGGACTAGGAACAGGGGCTGGGATACCGGGAGACCTCGATGGGGAAAGCGGGAGTAGAAGAGGACATACTCCTGAAAAGTGACGTCGCGAGAGTGAAAGAAACTGTGAGACGGCCGGTAGTTAAAGTGCCGGTAAGATGCGTCCAGAAGGAAACCAAGGAAGACACAAGGGACGGTGCGGACAGTGAGCTTGTCCATGCCGGAGGTATGGACGTAAGCGAGGTAGCCCCAGACGTAAAACGCTTTAGTGTCCCCATAGACCCGGTCCAGAGAAGGGTCGGCGAAACCTACAGCTGCTGGGAGTGCGGCAAAATGTTAAGCTGGTGAGCAGCGTAGCGAACAATGAACAGCCATAAAAAATGGGGTGCACTGGCATGAATCATGTGTTAGAAATAGACTGCAAATCCCACTTTTGTATTTGTACTGTTATATCCTAGTTTAGGTTATGAATGTTCTGGTGGGTTTGGGTGTACTCACAAATCCCAACTTCACCCAATTGTGATCCCCCAAATCTCCAATTACCCAATTGGAGATTCCGGAGATCCCAATGGGGATTCCCTCCGATTCCCCTCTTCATCCATTCTCTCTCACCTTGCCATGTACTTATAGAGCCTTGGGCTCCTGACCTAATTAATCATGATATCAGAGCGACCTATCTGCACACGCGGATCAAGGTCCTAATCTTAACGTGCCCGCGCTACGCGCACTTCATCGTCGCGACATTCGTTCCGAGTCATCGGAATTTCGACGTGCTCCAATCTGTAGTCGCGCCTCCCATCGTCGACCGCCTTCGCGCTCGACCTCGTCGAAATTCTCATCTCTGAAGCTTTCACGCTTCTCGTCGTCGATTTCCTGCTCGGTTCTCCTTGGTCGAATCTCAATTTCGACCATCTCTTAAAACTCGTTCTCCAGTTTCCCCTTAGACCCCGCCAGAATAGGCGAACTCCCATCGCGAAATCGCCTCCACGAACGTCTCGCGTCAAGCAAGAGGAGGTACACAAGTTGAAGCGGAGCGGAGCTGGTTGCGGAGCTGGTTGCGGAGCTGCGGGACAGGGCTTGGGGGTGTGTGGGGGGGTGTGTGTGTCCGGGGCTAGATATAGTCTCTGATTTAGTTTCAAGTCGGCGTTTTAACGAAATTTCGCCGACGCCATTTCCTTTTTAGCGGCATTTCGATGAAGCCGTCAGAATGATTTTCAACAATTCTTGTCGACCGATTTCCAGAAGTGCCGGGCTGCACACCGAAAATCCTATCGGTGACTTAAGAGCGTCGCTTCGCGAAAATCAAGCGGCAATGGCTTACTCAACCACTCCACTCGCCAACCCGATTCCGCTCCTTCGTCTCGAGCTGGACGGTACATGCTCCAACTACAAGGCTTGGCGCTATGGTGCCGAAAAGCACCTCCTCAGTCGCGAGGTGAAGGGGCTCGAGCTCACCGACGTCCTTCTCAACATCGGTGACAGCAAAGAGCCTCCAAAACCCGAGAGGTCTGCCGATCCAGCTATTGCCGCCGCCGAAGCAGTTTATGCTGCTGCAGTGCTCAAGAATTGGGAGAAGGCCGATGGTGCGGTCATTAGTGTCTTCATGGGCACCACTCCTCCCGAACTCGTCGAAACCTACCACAACTACCCGTCTGCCAACGCCATTTGGCTCTACCTCGAAGATCGCTTCCTGAACAAGACTGCAGTGGGAGTTTCTATACTCATCCCCAGCATGTTCCAAGTGCGGCTCGAGGACTCGCCAGGCATGGCGGACTATGTCACCAAGGTGCAGTCCATTCATGGTGAACTCAAACAGCTGGGGATAGTCTTCCCCGAGCAAGCCCCTGCAGCCGCTCTCATAGTCGGCCTCACTCCAGCATACGAAGTCACACGCAAGATGCTCTTGGGCCTTGCTCCTGCGGACCTCACATTTGCCAAGGTCTCATCCGCGCTCCTTTCTGCCGAAAAGGACAACAGCGCTCAAGCCAAGGCCAATGCAATCCGCGCTCCCGTGCCTCAAGCCTATGCCTCTTCGGCACCATTCCAGCGCAACCGCTTCTGCCCGTGTCCCTACATCATCAAGCGCGACCCTCGTGCCGGCCAGGTGTGTGGCGGCACCAACCACGGCCTTGCCTTCTGCCTTAAAAGAAGGATGACGAGTGGTATGCCGTCAATGGGACCGCCTCGAAGCCGCCAAGCTGGATGGTCAATCGTGCTCCTCGCCAAGTCAATCAAGTCGAAGCGCAGGAATGCGTGCAGGCTGCTGTGGCTGCACCTGTTGATGTGCGCCTGAACATGTTGTTCCCTGGCACTGCCATGATTAATGAGACAATTTTGCAGTGTCCTGGCTCACAAACCACCTCAGCCACAATAGAGTTCACCCTCGACAGTGGGGCCACTCACACAGTTCTCAAGGAAGAACACTCCTTCAAGCCATACGAGACACCAATCCGTCTACTTGGAGCAGACTCCAGTTTCACAACACACGCCAAGGGCTCCTCCACAGTTCCGTGCCCAGCTTTTCCTTCGGGCACTCCGCTGGCATGTGTGTTCGCACACTACGCCACAACCTCGTGGCCCAACACGAGCTCCAACGGGCAGGCGTCACCACGATCTTCCCAGCATTCTCGGATCACTGTGACCTCCTCGACCCCAAATCCAACTTGCTCCTAGCACGCTTCACACTCGACAGCAGCAAGCTCTACACGCTGCGTTCACCTGCACCTCTCGCCGCCCTCTCCCAAGCGCAAGCTGCCAGCACCACTTCGTGTTCCTTTCGCAGCTTCGCCAACCCAACCATCCTCTACCACCATCGCTTGGGTCACCCCAACTTCCGTACACTTGCCGACATCGCTTCCAAGAAACTTCCTTTTGGCCTCCCGTTGGCGCTTCCTCCACCAACAGACTCACCTGCACCCACCTGCCTGGACTGCACCAAGAGCAAGCTCAGGCAGTAGCCGCACCCTTCGTCCCCATCCGTCGCAGCTGCTCCGCTGGACCTAGTGCACATGGATGTCTGGGGCCCAGCTCCAGTCGCATCACGAGGCGGTCATCGGTACTTTCTTACACTAGTCGATGACCATTCGCGGCATGTCTCAATGCACCTCCTCCATACCAAGGCGGAGGCACCTGATGTCATCATAGCGTAGGTGCGCCAGGCTCAAGTCACGTTCGGCACTCCTCTGAAGTGCCTCCATTCTGATGGCTGGGGAGAATTTTGCAATGGCAAACTCGATAACTTCTGTGCGGCTCAAGGGGTTCGGCAAACCTTCACGCTCAGGGAAAGCCCGCAGCAGAACGGCATTGCATAGAGCCGTAACCACACCTTGGTTCAGATCGCTCGCTGCCTCCTCAGTCACGCCAACGCACAACGGTCACTCTGGGGATATGCCCACTTCCATGCGGCACTCCTCTACAATCTTTATCCACATCCCCACCGGCCCGACACCACACCTACCGCTCTCTGGCTTGGGGCCACGCCCTCCCCCCGCTCTCTATGCGTCTGGGCACAACTCTTACTCCCCAGACTACTTATTCCTCAACCCCATCACCAGACAGCTGATTCGCAGCCGTGAT